TCTCAACCATAAATACAAAAAGCCTCCCTTAGGTATGACCAGAATGGTGTGATCCAAAACACGCCTTGGAGAACTGGGCAGGGAATACAGGAGAGGAGCAGATCTTCATACTGAACTACTTAAGAAATCAGTACTGAAAAAAAGGGCAAACTGCACCCTTATTCCAACGTACTGTAATTCTGTGGCAATCTAATATAAGTGGATGCTATTTTATTTCAAAATACCTGAAGAAATAGATCACAGCCACTGAAGGTCAAATCTGGAGTGTCCGTCAGGTTAATCAGCAACTGACTCTCATGTTTAGGAGATACTCTTTCTATACTAGAGACAGGTCCAAGGCACAATAAATCATATCAACTGGTGTTTCTCCAACACAATAAGCATGTCCTTACCGTACTTTGTTAGGGTAAGATTAAAAAAAAAAAAAAAAGGGGGGTGGGGCGGGAAGTGACATACAGGTTTGTCATAGTCATAATTGGATATGAAGAAACGAGCATCTTTGAGGCAGTTCTCCATGTTCCATTTAGACATATCTCATCCAAAAGGGAAGAGCTTGGAAAGGCAGAACATAAGGATTATCCAAAATTGTCATTAGAGATATTTGGAGAACGCACTTATGAACAGGGCCTTCAAAGCTGAACTGTACTGAGGTGTGTAGCTGGGTGATCTCACCAGGTTTTTTCATAGACCTACACACTTGACAGAAGAATTAAACATGCAGCCTACAGTTTGCAAACATGAATCAGTCATCTGCCCCCGAGTACAGGAAGATACTGAAGTTGTTATGGTTTAGCTAAACACAAACTGTTTCAAGTGCTTCACCCAAGTGTAGACATGCTTCCTGTTATTCCCAAACAGTGCAATTTTTCAGTTTTCCAAAACAAAGGATAGGAACATTCTGCTATCAGTCCTCACCACTAAAAATACAGACTACAGCTGGAGCCGCCTACAGGCACTTCCTTTCTTTATTCTGCAGCACAAATTGCTTACAGAGAAGTCTTTTAAATAAGACTCGCTAGAGTAGAATGGAGCAGCACTTACGTAGGTTCCCTACCGCCACACCTCCTTTTAGCCACTATTTTCCATCAGCCAAGTGGATAAACAGTTAAACTCAGTCCTTTGGACAGCCAGTGCTACCTCAGGAATTAAAACACAAGAAAAGCTTTGGGGCAAGAGTCAACAAAATACTCAGCTTACCGATCACCATTTCTCATTTGGAGACATGCTGTCTCCTTTTGATAAAATCTGGGTCCAGCAGAGCTGGATTACTTTCTGTTCCAGCCTGCTTTCAAAGTCTCTAACATGGCCTTTAATTCTCTACTGACAGTTATCTTTCCAAATTCTATGTGCAAAAATATCCTCCATACACTTTGCATTCTTCAGAGTGCTCTCAAACAAAGCCCCTGACACTAATTTCAAGCGTACAAGATAGCTCAGTGCATGAAGCAAGGATTCCTTTCTAAGCACTACGTAATTATTGTCAGAGATATGATATATTGCTCTGGTTCTGTTGCATGCATTCTCAGGGATGTTTGTTTGATGTGCTATAACATTAACTGCTCAGTCTTCTGTTTTAAAATCTATCTCAGCCAAATTAATCCCAGGAAATGCAAGAGCAGGGAAGAAAAGGACTATCATCAACACATGTGCTGGAGGAAAAAAACAAAACAAAACAAAACAAAACACAACAAACACACACAACACAACAGGCTTATTCATATTTGACTGAATCTCATATACCATCATGTTGGACTGTGCTAATCAAGAGCAGGAGTTTATGGTTACTTTTTCTTATATTCACCACGTACAGTGAAACTACAAAGCTTTCTTTCATAAGTGACAGCTAGTCAATGTTAAAAAAGTCTACCAAGTCCTGGAGGGGAAAAATGCCAAACCAAAACGTTTTCCTTACTCTCTGCAAAGCTGCCACTTGCGTCCTCTGTGCCCAGGGGCTCAGGCAGAAAGCCAGTGGCTCACGTCAGTTTAGAGGTTATTCGTCAGCAGCCTGGTGCTCTGTCAGCATTCCAGCTATCAGAAGCACCCTCTGAGGTTTTTGCAGTGTTTTATCCTCCCCGGCCTTCTATGGAATCCCAGTACTGTTACCAGTAAGGACAGTTTTGCCTCGCTCTTCTTCTCCTCTCTCCCCAAGCTACACACATGGTAATTTGCCTCTCTGATCTGACCTTATAAAACCAGCTCAGAACAGTCAAAGATTCTCATCCTTCTAGTCCTCCACAAAAACAGGTTTCTAGCACCCTTCACTGCTGAGGGGAGAGAAGAGGATGTACAGCTGCCACATTCTCACTACATAGAGATCTGCCGGAAAGCACTTGCCCAATGCCATCTAATACCAATATCCTTCCCCCAAGCAATTCGGAAAACTTCATGGAAACCCTGTAATTGTGGATATCGACTTACGTATTGCACACTGCCATGGTCTGACATGACTCTCCTGTACAGAATTCTGAGATTGTACTATACTGTAAGTTGATGTGATGAAAGAAAGTTGTTGCTGAAAAACAAACACAAAGGTGAAATTCAGAAGTATAAAATACTTTCAAACACTGTTTATCCTGCAGACAATTCTTTAAATAGAGTGAGTGAAGTGGCCTCAGAGTTAAATTTAAACAAATTTAAACATGATTTAGCTAAATGAGTCTAGTGATGAACTGCAAAACAGAGAGGTACATAGAATGAAAGTTCTTGTTTTGATTTAAGATGAAAGCACCATGATGCATCAGCTTTTCTTACTCACTAAAGCAGCAAGACTGGAAAGTGTCTCCATCATCAGCCTCACCTTTACAGTAGAAAACTCTACTAGAAGCTGAAGGCAAACAATTTGCTACATTCTTTTGAAGTCAGACTTCAGACATACAGTGGCTAGAAACAACATTAATAGTTTTCATGACATATCTCCTTCTAAAACAACCAGCATGAAAACTAAGACACTTCTGCTTTTTAAATATCTCCTGAGATAATTAAACATCTTAATACTCCTCAAGGGGCACCTCACTTTTTCTTAATGAGTCTCTACGAACTTTTCCTAGTGTGCAGTTTAAAGTAGTTTCTTGCTACTACCACACACTATTAAAAACGTGAACAAGACTGGGTCACAGCTGCAAGTCAGGACTGGCAGATGAAGCAGAAGCACAGCAAAGTACTGTAAATCAGAACTGAGATGCACAGCTACAGCATTCAGTCACAGTAGTCAGTCACCTTGCTGAGTTCCAGCTTGACTACAGTTTAAACTCACAGTGATTGCAACAACGCTTGGAAGGAGTGGGGAGAAGAAATCCAACCAAAAGGCTTCAAAACTTCTGGCTTTAAGCATAACTTGCTTTACATATAAGTCATAATAAACTACCATTTTTACAATGCTTCTGGGAGACCAGAAGTCAGAAATGTGCTGAACCAGCTGGTTTAGCAAATAGTCAAAGCAAACGTGATGGTCCTCAACAGCACATCAAAAACTTTAATGCCCTCAAGTGCCACAGTGAGGGAGCTGGAAGGAGGAAACACATCAAGGCTTCCATGGTGCTGAGCACAGTTGGTTTGTATGTGAGACAGCTTAATTACTATTCAAGGTAAAATGACGTGCGTTATGCAGTAAGCATAAATAGTCATTGAGTGTTTTTCTAAGCACTGAAAACAGTAAAAAAAATAAAAACCCCACAGAGTGAATGAATGTCGCCTTGGGTGTGGACAGCAAGCTCGGAGCTGTACGATCACAATACTCACTGTTGCTGGCTAGCCACTCATTGAGGTCTATTTCTCGTGGTAACATCACTAGCTCCTTAAATTCGAAGTCAGTAATTCTGGATTTTGTGTATTCTGGCTCTAGGTAAAGTTTCTTCTCTTCCGGTGCTGGCTTTTTACCATTTGGCTTTCCCTTGGACTTCCTGCAAGAGAATGAGATAGAGAGGAAAGGTTACCTTTACTGTTGATGAACAGCTACAGAAACCTGAAAGAAGCTGGTTGATCCAGACTCCTATATTGTGTTTACACTGCTCTGCCTGCCTTCCCTCCTCTTAGCTTAATTTCTTTTTTATTAAAGCAAAAGATGGCTTCTTAAAAAGTGCATCTGAAATCAGTCTTTTTTTTCAAGTAACACTGGAAGTTTTGAATGGCGTTAAGAAACCTGCGACTGAGCTGCTCCATCTCCATTACCCTTTTGTCAGTTCAGATTGCAAATTACTGGGAGAGTGACAGTCTCTCTTTCCGCCTAGGAACAGTCGTGACAGCAGAATGGCACCACGCCTGAAGGAGCTACTCTGACGCGAGTACACTAACAATCTGCTGCATCATACAGTTAACTGTCACCTGCAGAACGGGCATCCGAGGGACAGTAAAAGCGGACTGCTGCAAGAAGATAGCTTTCAGCTGGGAAAAATGTTCTCTCCACACAATGTGCTGGCTCTGCTCATTCAGAGCCACAGCATTCCTCGCTCCTCCAGCCCTACATTCTCTGAGATACCAGGAGCCTTCTGGAAGTGAGCACCTGTGACTCCAGCTGGAAGCACTGGTAACTACAAGAACACCTGCTTTCTGAACTCCCAGGACACTCGAGACAGAAAGATAAGAGTTCATTTTTTTCTGAAAATCCTTTAAAATCCGATACGTTACGAAATAACCTTCCATTTGAGTTTATAAAGCAGACAAACCGAATTCCATAAAATACATTTATCTCCCTGGCATACTGTGACTTCTCATCTCCCATTTCTAAAGTGTTTTTTGTAATCCCTAGGGTTTTCCTCTCACTCTGTTTTTAGCATCCTCAAACTGGACACTCAACCCAACCCATATTCCTGGGCTGGGGGTTCAGTAAGGACTTCTGAGGAAGGACAGCAAGTCAGCACTTCAGTCTTTTAGGCTATGTGTCAAACAGCTGCATATCCACATGTTTCCCACCTAACCAGAGACAGAAGATATATTTAATGGTGAGGGACAAGTGCAGTAAGGCAACACTTGCTGTGCACTATCACATGAATAAAAGGAGGAGATGCCAGGATTTTTTAACGTCAAGTTTTCTCAGTTAAAGAGGTTTTTAAGGATCTCGAAAACCAAGAAAATTCCACCATTGCAAATGACTCATTAAGTTTGCTATTGAAACTCATCTAGATCCCATCCAAAGGAAATTGACCTTGTGTTCTGGCTCTTAACACGCTTTCAATCCCTGTCTGAGATACATGCAGTCTTGATTTTTGCTGTGAGGATGGGATGCACATCTTTCCTGAAATGTCTGAAGTGTCAATGCTTTCCCCAAAGAAAGTACGATTATTCAGATTTCTCTCTTTATGGGCTCTTCACTGATCTGTTCATTAAATCCATCTTCAAAATGACTCATCGTCCACGTCGTCAGCACTGCAGTAGGAAGAGATCGAGATTCGCCTTCCACAAGAAAGGAACGCCGCAACTTACTACAGCTTGGTCACCAGCGCGGCCACTGTTGGCTCTCTTGAACTTGCACTGAGTCTTGTTACATTTCTCTCTAACACTAAATTAAGACTAGGGGGACTTTAAGGAAGTCAGGGCCTTCAGGAAGGCCATCATCAAAGAAAAATCAGGAAAACTTAGTGACAGCAGCACAATATACACTTACACCCTCACAATATATTTACAAGCCACAGATGTGCAGAAAGCGCTGTAGGAGGTCTCTGATAGGGAAAAGATGGTCACGCTTTATCTCCGCAAGCTAATGGGAAAGGTGGATTTCATGGTTAGAGAGAGGACGCCTGTGGCACAGAACATCTTTTTATTTAAAGAATACAAATACAGTATGAGAATAAACTAAAGCTAGTATCTAATCTTCATAAATTAGGAAGATTAATTTAGCACATAGCTACTCTTGCACATTTCCTGCCATCTCCTTTTTCCACGGCAGCGTGTTCCAATTCAAACGAAGCCTGTAAGATTCGTCCCTCACGTTTATTTAATGAAGTAACCTGGACTAATTCTCATAGCTGCTTCGCAAAGGGATGCTTTAGGACACGCAAAGTCAGATGTTGCTCAGCACAGAGCTCTCAATACAGACGGGTTGTTGCTCAGCTAGAGCAACAGCTCCTGGTTGTCAACTAACTCTTCTTGTCTTCAAACCCTGACATTTGCTAGATCTCGTCTGAACCTCACCATGTAAAAATAAGCTACTGATAAGAAAAAAATCCATGAAAGCAAGAACTGCAGGAGGGCCTTTAAGGGATTTAAAGCAGCTATGAAAGATATACTTAATTTATTCTTGGGCCTGAGACTTCAGATTTTCACAGAACTTGAGATGATATTCAAGGAAAACGTAATAGCATAAAACAATAGTATCATTCGATAGTCTGTAACTTGACTTTATAGCAGATGAAGCAACACGTTTGACGTCTTCCTTTTGCAGGAATACCATGTTAAGACTTGAAATTAGCTTACCCTGACAGTCAACAGCATAAATCCAGTTGAAACTATGCACTTGGCTTTGAGCTAGTGAAAAGTACTCCAGGCCACTGATTTGCCTAATTTCCAGCACAGGCTGCCTTACTCCTACGCTAGTGAAATCAAGCCTGGCACGCTCCATACATCACCTTCATACCGGCTGGGCCTCTGACAGACAATAGTACGGTCCATTCAGAATATACTATTTAGGGTTTTTTTCAGCTGGGTGGGTTTAGTGGGTTTCTGGTGTGGTTTGAGGGTCAGGGTGAGGGTGGTGGATTCAGGCACTCAAGGATAAGTTGATTTTTAAAGAAAATTATAGTTCCAGTTACAATCATGCAGAAAATACCCTCAGCTTCAGAGACTGGTTTGACAAACCGCATTAACCACGCTTGAGGAGAAAGTTATCAGTGAGAAGTAGTTTGGATAGAATGGGAGTTTGTGTCTTTGCTTTACTTTAGGATACTTAAACCAAGGGCCCCAGGTTAGGACTGTGCCACGTCAGCTAAGAGCAGTCTTCTGAGAGAAGAAGGAGGAGGAGGAGGCGGAGGAGGAGGAGGAGGGGAGAGACAGACGAAGAGGTCAGAGACAGTCTGTCACCGAGCCAGGCTGTGGAGGGAAACCACAGAAGGAAGCCAGACATACAAGGTTGAGTCAAGCCTTCCATTGAACAGAAATGGATCGTGTGTATCCCGTTCTCACTTCAGCACCTTCTCCCCGTTTCAAGAAAAGAAACAAAAATTCAACACTAAATATACTTCACAAGTTTGCTAATGCAAACGACAATACGCCATCCTTTTACAAAAATCCAAACCCCTCGTTTCCACACAAATGTCAGTTCTCTGCCAGATTAGTACACGCAGCCACTTCACGTCTTTTCCTCAGATTGTGTAAGTTTTTCCACAACTGCCTTGTGCTGGAAGTGGGGCACTTCAAACAGAAGCTTCCTGAAGGATCCCATGCTCTGCCTCTTTCCAAAGCTTTGGCTCAGCTTGAAAAAAAGGAACCCGACCCATGGGTATCATCACTGAACCTGCAAAATACTCACAATCACTGATATGAAAGGGTTTATTCACACCAGTGAAACCTGAATGTCAAATCACCATGTCCAGTACAAAGTTCTTTTTAAACCTTTTGCAGCTGCTGAGAGCTAAAGCAAGACCACAGAAATTGTTCCTACCTGCAGATTTTCATGACCTGCAATGCAGTGCAGTTGGGATACTACATGGCCCAAATATTCTAAGTACAAACCAAAAGAAATTCCAGTCTTAAAAACACCAAGTTTTGAACTGGACCACACATCTTCCTTCAGTTAGGCAGAACTTGGGCTAGAAAGTCAGACTTACTCATATTAATTGAGTCGTGCTCAGTCTAGGCTGTAAAACTGTGGGTTTAGTTTGGAAACTGTCAATATTAGTCAATACTAAAGCACTTCCTTTACAGACTTACAAAGCTGGTAGTACAGAGAAAACAGTTTTAGAAACATGATTTCGTATGATTAAGAATCAACAAATAATTGTTCCATATTCTAGACAAACCAAAGCTTACACATCAATAATTACCAGAATTACCAAATAGCATAAAGTTTAGAAGTTAGCTTCCTTCCTTCTGCTCTCCCCTACCTCCAGGTTCACTGTTGTTTCAAAGACATGTAAGAAAACACCATCTACCTGGAACCAACTCCAAATGTGCAAAGTGAAGCATCTGTTATTTCCTTTGTTGTGAAGCTGTTCACGGTCAAGATGCCTTCCTTCATTTTCCATTTTATGTTTAAAGTACACAAATATGAGAAATTGCCTGTAGCCATTTCTGAGATGTCCCAGAACACTCTTATAAGTGAAGACTATAGCAGTGAGCATGAAGCAGCACATTCAGCAACAGCTCGTTCTGCCTGCTTTCAATGAAGGGAAAAGAATGAGAACACCAGAGTTTTAATGTTCTTTTCAGGAAATACCAAAATCTATAATGTGCAGATGATTACTTACTGGAAAATGTAACTAAATGTCATATAAGACCACAAAAAGGGCACTACCTTTCAAAACACTGCTATAGGCACCCTAAAGCAAACCAAAGTCCTGATTCACGTTCACCTGCATCTTTCTTAAAAAATAAGATAATTCTGCTAAATGTATCTTAACATGTCCATGTCAGATCAACTATATCTCCAAAGCAGCTGGAGGAACAGCTGTTACGCAGCAGTTCAGTGAAGGTCTGTTAAGAGGTTAGACCAAAACCTGTCTATCAATGCTTGACTACTAATTAAGGAAAGAAACATCTTTAGGGAATCCAAGGAGATAGCACTCAGCAGTTTTTGTTGACAGGCAAACCAGAGTACAAACTAATTCTTCAGATAACTCCCAGGATAGGTTTGTTTGTTTGGTTTTATGCACTCAACTAAACATGATGCCACAGGCCAAGTCATACCCACGAATAAGTTTCAGAGAGGGAAAAGTGATGGGCGATGACAGAAGAGAGGTCACTTGTCTGA